TCACATCTTCTTGATATCTTGGCGCTTACAATTTGAATTTTTTAAATATTGTTGTTTTATTCAAGGCACTTTCTAGGGAATAAACCTATAGAAGCTTTATTCACGTCAACTCCCACCCGCTTTTTCGAGCAACTCGTGAAAAGCCAGGCAAAGGCATACAAAAGTTGGGGAGTATCCGACCTAGTAAGTCGCCACATGAATTATGAATCACTTTTCGGAGATTCCTCCCTGAATGAACCTATGGCCCCCGAGGATAGCACAAGGCACACTGTCACGTCAAAAAACGGGATAAGGCGTAATAAGGGCCTCAGTACCGTCTTAGCCGGTGTACAAATCCAAAGGCAGGCGAGTTCTCACTGTGTTTTACAGGTTGTGTACAGGAAAACAGAGCAAGTAGTTTGCCCACGCCCAGACTTGGAAACTTTGTGGGAGCCTTCAAGGAAATCTCCTATGAACTGGAAGAAATATGTCTTTGGAGGTTCGATTAAATGATGGCTTTGGATGGTGAGGCTCAGAAAGGGACTCAGTTTTACCTGGTCCACGGCTTCACAACTGCTTGCTGGCTTCGTTCAAGAATAGGATTGTTACCGACTTTCATTCTGCTGCATCACCCCTTTCGTCATTGATCATTACCGTTTAGGAGGCTTCGGGCACCTGACCACCATGCAGAATCGTGGAGGCACTTGAGAGTGTTTGGATCATACTCTAATTTGAGGTGACCAAACAACGTTTATGTAAAGGATCCCTTTAGCCCAGAAGGATACGGTGCCAAACAAAAGAGTAATAGAAGCCTTGGTTAACTTGCGTGGGGCTGGATCCACCATCTTCTCTTCAGGCCACTTCTTTGGGGCTCGCCACTCATAATGAACCTAAACCATCCGGAATAACCGAGAATTATCAAAAGCCTCTACGAAACTGTCGAAATTCGATATTAGCACCGTTCACTCGATGCCCTTTTGACTACCGTATACCATTGTAAATACTTCGACCAAATGTAAATATTCAACATTATCCAAGCTTTTCAAATACGGGTAGGTTTTGCGGCAGTAATGGACTCGACAAGAACTAAAACTTCATCATCATTTTATTTTTCGATAATAACTACCTACTGGTATTGATGAAAAGTAAATCTGACTGGTGTTATGTGAAACTACACACAGTAGCGGTCAACATTCGGGTAATAACGGCAAATACGAGGAGCTCTCTCTCTCATGTTGCATACTGGACGGCTCCGACCACCCTTCACATATACGACGCATTGAGAAGAGGCCTTGAGCAAGAACGGCGAAGGTTTGGTCATGATCTATGGCTATTTGTGGATTGCTGCTGATAATAATAGATATGAGTAGCAATAATGTAGCTCTCTCGAAACGTAGCTGAGGCATGCCCTAAGCAGTTTAAAGGCTGGTTCACGATAATTTTTAGGTGGCAGTATCAGAAGAGTAATGGCAGTGATAGTCTAGAATAGTGCAAAAGAGGTGAAGAGGGCGAGGAACTCGGTATTTTCAGTGAAATATAAGACTTTGAAAAAGAAGTAGAATTAGAGGTTGGCAGGAAGTGTACAAAGGAGAAGAGTATTTGGACGAGTTATTCAAATGCTCGCGCCATTGCATACAGGTGGCTGCAATAGGCTGCCTGCGTCCAAGGCGTGGGTCCCCGTGTGAAGGTGCAACCTCTACAGCTTTCGCAACGCCTTGAACTCGTCCACCTTGGGTGTGCATTTCGGTTAAAGGCACAGTTCACCATAATTTTGGGTAGCCCAGATTAGGCCGAGGCTTCGAAAAACCGTAGAAAAAGGGGCTGGAAGAATACGAGACCAGAAAAATGAAGAAGAGTAGGCCGTCTGGACGAGCTATACAATGTGTCTCACAGGGTCCTGGTGCGAATAACAGCCTACTGTAAAAATTCGTTCACTTATAAGCATACGTTAACAAAAAAAAACCTAGTAACAGCAAAAGTAGCTCACCTTTTTCAGCTTCCAGGAGTAGAAAATTGAATAAGGGATCGCGGCAGCAAAAAGAATAACAGAGGAAAGAAAAAGAATGAGGGAAAAACATCGCCTCATCACTTGGCGATCAGTTGTGGGATTGTGTGTGGGTCCTAGAACGAATAGTTGCAATTTCTATTGTCTCGGCACTCGTCTAACGTGACATCGATCGAGAGGCGGGAACGCCACTCAAGCCAGCAATAAGGCTTCCACTATACCCTGACCGTCGAGATTTTGAGAGCGAGAGAGTCCCTTCTACCACCCATGGGAGCAACTGAATATTCCTAAGGGAAGAACTCTAACAATTTTTATCGTGAACCGTGCCTTTAACAGGCTCTTTCACTTGGACCCACGACTCCAAATTTTCTAGTTTTTTGGGAAACAAGAGTACTGCCGCTGCTTGTTGGCAGCTCAAGAGAAAGGCAAAGTTAGGATCCTTCTGGTAGGCGTATTTCAAGAGAGGAAGCAAAGCTCTGAACATTGATTGAAGTTCAGCGATCCCGTAGAATTTTTTAGGATTACGCCATGTGATTTAGTGGTTTTCGCTGCGAAGCACCTGCTGAGTTCAATACTAGCAACGATATTCAGAAGGTAAACAAACAATTTGGACAGATTTCTTGTGAAGATTTCGTGTGCCCGAAATGAAGAATAACGCATTTTTATGAAGAAAGCCTATCGAGATATACTTTCAGGTGGTGGGGTCAAATGAAAAAGTTACTTATACATATCTACTCAGTTAACTCAGTGTCGGAAAGGAACGGCAGGTGTTACCGGCTCAATTCACTACCGTAGTACGCTGGAGCTCACCTTACATGTGAGGCTTTCGTCCTAGTACTAGTTCGTATGGAAGGTTAATACGAGAGTAACTAAATAGTATTACATTTAAAGACTTGTCAATTCCGCCTTACGTTACGAACCCGGAATTCAAGTCGGCACTTCCCAAGTTGGCGAAGCAATTTCACGGCCGTTAATGGCTATTTTATCAGTGAATTTGTGTGAGTTACTTGCTCATTCTTCAAGCATTGCTCTCTTTGATCTTTTCAAAGGAAATGATATATTTATATGTTGTAACTGCGTGGTACTTATATTTATTTACTTACTTTTCTAAGAGTATTCGTCCAAGCCACCAATTTCTTCGGACATCTACTAGTTTATCTACCGAGAATTTTCAAACATAATCCTTAAAATTGAAGAGTGACATCATGGATTTGTGGAAATCTTTTTAATCGAATCAATAATCAACCGTCAACTATACATTTTTTAACAAATACAAAAAACCATCTTGAAGCCCAAATGATTTTGCTGTAATTACTGTATTATTGATTTATTTGTTTGTTGAATACTATTTGTTTTTCACTGAGCACTCAAAATGTTCAAGGTTTGGCTTAGAGTAGGGATCAAGGTCCTGGGAGGTTCGAGCTGGCCTGCGGCTAACATTAACTATGTAACTACTGGTTGAGAGGTTTTTTGAAAAACCTTTTTAAATTTCTCGAATTTTCAGGGAGAGCGATTTTACTTTCTTTAGGTTTGAGGTGAATTTTGGATGTTTTTCATCAACAGATTGTTTTGTTCGAAGTCATTCTTTCCTAGATATCATTTTTGTGTTTTAATATCTTTTTTTTCTCAAATTGATTCCTTTTTTTCTTCCACATGCCTCAAGTCTTGGGTACCCCTTCTTTACCTCAAAAAATATTTCTTCATTGAAAGGTGATTCATCAAAAATCACAAAACATGTGGAAATGAATTTTGAGACGATTTTCGGCATTAACTCAGCGAACAAATCTGGAAGGGCCATTGGCTTTGCGCATAGAGAAGTGGCCACCCATAAAGGGATGTCTTTGAATTTCGGATCCCACTCATTCTGAAGCAAGGTCAATTGAAGAATGTACCTGAGTGTTGTACTGAAAACGAAACAAAAAAAAACAGTTTTTGAAGTGTTCCTCTATTGTTCCGATTTCCGATCTTGGCTTTTTATAACAGTAACCCTTAGGCCGTTCATTTCGTGGTTACTTTTTTTTGAAATTCTTCTGAAGGCAATGGAACAGAGCTGTTCGTTCCCAATAAGACGTTTCGCAGATAAAAACCGTCAATTTCTGAAAGGTCAACAAGGCGTCAAAGTTTGCACTGATATGACAAGCCGTTTACCCACGAATTGTATGGAATTCCTATTTTTTCTTCTTTGACATCGATTTCCTGGCACTTTTTCTGCCATTTCTTGGGATCAGGATTTGGGTTTTTGGAAAACTTGTATGAATTGGCTCATTATCGAGGTGTTGCAGGCCCTGCTGTTTTCATTGCTTGACCAACATCCTTTCCTTTTTTTTCTACAGTATAATAAACAAATTTCAGATGATATTAAAGCAATGTTGGATATTGCTGCTACTGTCGTCGTCGGTTTTGTCCATAGAATTGAATATAGAGAATGAAACTGAGTTTTGGAGCGATATTTTAAGCTATGCTGATAGTGTCGGTGTTCGACGGTGAGTATAAATAGACTTTCATTCTTATCGCTTTTGTAATCCATGCTTTTCGAATCGTTAACCGTTAACTTGAGAGCCAGCGATCGTTGGGTCTTCCTGAAAAGGAAATTGTTAAATTTAATGGCCATTGATGTTTTATAGCTGCTTTATAGTGTGTAAATTCATGGCGTGATAAAATAGCCATTTTCTCGGGTAAGAGCGGCAAGACTTTCATTTACCGTACTGTAGTGATCTCACAATCAGAATGAGTTCAACGCCATACACGGCATAGGTATTGATTGATATTGTTTGGCATATACCCACTCAACGTCAGTGGATACTCCAAAACAAGCTGAGAAAAACACTCAACTTTGAAGAATTAGAAACATTTCCTTCACTTTCTCCCTGAAGAAATTCCCAATGGCAATTGATAGTAGAAATTTTTCAATCTTAAATGCACCCTTCTCGATAAGGTTCAGAGGGTACCCCAAGAACGTTTCAAGCTTGCCGAACTTTGGTGTACTTCTTATTGGAAGGATTGTGAAGAACACCTCCTATTGGTGGCCGGCTCAACCGACCAATCAAAAGTGTGCTGAGCTCATCTTGATCAGCCCCATTACCTAGTGCGTTCAAGTTGCCCTTCCCAACTACACAGTATTTGTTTCAACCCCGTCTTTTGAAGACGCAATTCACATCAAAAATGGTTTCTTGGATTTCTCCCTAGAATAAACCTGTGACCCCCAAGGATGGGCCAAGGGACGCTGTCGGGTCGAGAAACAGTCAAGTCAGGGCATGATAATTGCACTAAAACCCGCTTAGCCAACGTGCACCCCGAAGCAGACGAATTGTTAAGCGTTGTGAAAGCTGTAGAGGTTGCACCATTCGCGCCGGGACCCACACCTTGCACGCAGGCAGCGTATTGCAGCCAGCTGTATACAATGGCGCGCGCTTCCAATACCCTTCCATGCAGTTTTTTCATAATATTCTCGTCCGACTCCTGATTGCAGATTTGGCCGTCTTCTTTGCCACTTTTGCAACTATCACTTCCATTACTCGTCTAAAATAAATACTCCAAAACTATCGTGCACCGCGTCTTTAAGCACAATGTTCCCTATCGATACTGTTCACCGGCTCTTTACTGGAACTTGTAGCAACGTTCCAGAAAAGTAGAGAAAAGTAACGGCGAAGTATAACGGAAATGTAAGCTCGTTTAACCATAAGAGCTAGCAGCAAAGTGGGGATCTCAATCGGCTGTGTTTTGAAGGCCCAGCAGCTGCAAATTTTCCCTAGTTACTAAACTGCGGGTCTTGATATTTTTAGAAGCTGACTCTATTTCCCAAATTCCATTGACTGCCTTTAAAGTCTGAAATTTCATGAAACCTTAAGTAATCGCGTTTGGTTGCAGACAGTTGATACCTTAACTATCATACCAATTGAATTTTCTTCAATCTCAGCTGGTTCTGAGATGAATCACTGTCTAGGGAGTAGAACATAGTGAAATTTCAAAGAATTTTATCACGATGTAGAGTATTTTTCACCCTCGGAATCAATCGATAACCCAAGTTTTTTAAGGTCGGTACTGGCTTCACTCCTTCAAACGAATGCAGGCCTTGCAAGCTCGGAAGGAAGGACAGGTATAGGTGGTACCGCTGACTCCACTTCCTGGAGTGGAACGTCGTATAGCGATGGAAACCACACTGAGGACCACAAAACTCATAGTCATGGAGTCAAAGTAGCATCGTTCAAGTTCGATTATGTCAAAGAACCACTAGTACTCACCATCTTCATAATAGTAATTGGAATCTTCAAGTTGGGTAAGTTTCTGCTCATTTTCACTAAAAACCATTGCAAAACTGTATTTTCAGGATATCATCATACACACATCGTTCAGAAAATCATACCGGAATCTTGCTGTCTCATTGTCGTCGGAGTTTTCCTAGGGCTGATCTTCATGTAAGCATACTGTTTTATCTGACAACTTTAACGGAAACTGAGTTTTGGTTTTATTCCTATTCTTTACTCACCAGTTCCTACTTTTCGACCGTTTCAGTATCAAAAGTTAGTTATTAAGTGTTAGAATCAGACCTTTGCTTCCTCATGTTGTTCATAAGTGGAAGGGAGGAGGGAAGTGGAAGGAGCGACCGACCCTCTATGGCTTGGTTATCACGCTCCTCTTTTCCCCACGAAGATACCATCTTTCATCCTTTGATCAGATTTCGTGTTGTTTGTCGGGCATACTGTATTTTACTAGTAAGACAGAACGTTAGCATCGCTTTCCGTTCTCCTCACCAGTTTTTCTGTGAATCCGATACCTCACGATTCTTTAACTCTTCAAATTACTATTGTTTTGTACTGTACCAACAACCAGGAACAAATTAATATCAGTGGAAACTGGGTGGGAGGATAAGGATAAGCGTAGCAGTATGGTTTGCTCCATCCACTGTACTGGTATGCCAAGAGCTTGGAAAGTTCCACCGGTTTCCATCATGCTCATACGAAAGAAATATACTATTAGGTTGATGCATAATTATTGCGGATTTTTTCGCGGCTTTTTTTCTCCCGATGGAATTTGGATATTGAGTTCGGGTTTTTTAGAAATGATCTGCTTGATTTCCTCTACAAAAATATACTTAGAAAACCATCCGCATAATCGCGAAATTAGGCTCTACTTCTACGAGAAAGGTTGGAAGGTGGCAGAGTCATTCCGCGATCCCACTAACTTTTCGGCGATGGAACAATCAGCCAAAGCCAACCAGGAAATGGGATTTGCCCCTAGATCTGCCATAATCACCAGCAGAAACTTCTATGGATTATCTCGTCAACCGTTCGCTGAAAAAATGGTTGGGGAATAGAACTTACGTCGACTTGAGTGACTTGATGGCCGATGTCAAGGCGTGGATCGTCCCCCTCGATCAAAACATCTTCGTTTTTGGAATCCGACTATCTAGCCAGTGGGAAGAAGTGCTTGACGTAGATGGTGGATATGTTCCGGAGTAATTATTTGAACAAGTTTCTGTTCAGTATTTTTATCGTTTCGTTAAATAAATTTTGTTAAAAAAATCCGCAATAATTATGCATCAACCTAATACTTCACGCGGCCATAAATGCTCAAGAAAGAACTGGGAGAAGTGCCTCAAGTCAGCAGAGGCTCTGCGGTTCGAGACTCTGAGCTTTCCTTTTTGGACTGGCAATATTCCCCCATCGGCTAAGCCAGTTTTGACTAGGTTGCCAACCCAATGGTCCTCCTTTTTGAAGTACCCGCTACAGACATCAATTACTCCTGCTTATTTTAATAATACTCACAACATAATGCTTCACAAATTATTTTGCTTTGACTGGAACAAATCAGAAAGCCATTACTATCGTGCTTTTCAGTGGCGACGACACGCATGAATCTGTGAAATTCTTGGAATTCAACTCGAAAACGTTCTTTTTCTTTCTCCTGCCACCAATCATTCTTGAGTCGGCGTATTCGCTTCGTGATCGAGCGTTTCTTGAAAATTTCGGTACAATAGTTTTGTATGCAGTTGTGGTGAGTAATTATATCTTTCTATGATACACCGACGTTTACAACAGTTAAAAAACAAAAAAAAACTACTAGAACCGAATTCAGGGTACTGTATTGAACATTGTGTTGCTTGGTGGCAGTCTAATTGCCCTATCGGATCTGGGATTGATGAGAGGTTTCCGGATCGATCCTCTCGATTGCCTCGTTTTCGCCTCCCTGATAGCTGCTGTCGACCCAGTTGCGGTACGTTGATTAAATTTTTTACCTAATGAAGAACAATTTCAATCCATCTAACTAGTTTTGAACTTTGCCATGAGTTCGTCCTTCACTGAATGCGTCTCAGCTCAGCACATTCACACAATTACTTGTGAAACATGAAATGTCAGGCATAATCCCGAGTGTCTAACGCTTAAAATTAGAAACTGGTTTATGGCAGCATCCTTTAAGATCTGTAATAGCTGTTCGGGCTAAGCTCGATAATTTCGTGGTAATGGTGATGAGTAATGGTGGTGAGCTCGATAATGGTGATGAACTCACCGACTATGGAAAGCCTGAGGATTTTACAGTTTCCGTGACCAGGCATCACATGTATCAGGTTCCATCTCTCAGTTAAAGGCACAGTTCACGATGATTTTGGATAAACCAGATCATGATGAAAAATGGAAGACAAAATTGAAAATAGTGCGACGAAGGCGAAGGAACTGCGTGAATCGGTGGTTCCAAGGTGAAGAAAGGCTTCGAAAAATCGTTAAAAAGGGGGCTGGACGAGAAATGAGACCAGAAGATGAAGAGAAGTGGGGCGTTCGGACGAGCTATACAATGTGTCTCACTGCGTACGTGCGGGTCCTGGTGCGAATAACAGACTACGGTAAGCAAAGATTCATTTAATTGTAAGCATAAGTAAACAAAAAAACCCTGTAGTAGCAAAAGTATCTCACCTTTTTCATCCTCATAAGGCAGAAAGCTCGATTAAGGATTGCAGCAGCAAAAAGAATTATAGAGGAAAAAAGAATGAGAGAATATATTGCCTCATTACTCGGCGATCAGCTGATTGTTGTGGGCACTAGAACGAATAGTTGCAAATTCTATTGTCTCGACACTCGTCTGACGTGACATCGATCGAGGGGCGGAAAAGCTTTGGCTTTTCCGCCCCTCGACTTATCGTGAACTGTGCCTTTTAGTAACCCTGTTTGGAGCTGTGTGACTGCTACAATTGGAAGTTTCTACTGAAAAATTAGTTTTATCTGAAATTACCTTTTTAGGATATCTAACAGTCTCCCGTAGTAAGTTCCAACTGTCTTATGTTTGTGTTGCTACAAGGGCTGATTAAAGTGATGCTTAGACTTTAACTGATGCGGTTTTCCGCTTTTACTTAGTTCTTTCCTGAGCTGTTTCACCAAAGTTCACGCTCATGTGAAAAAAGGACAGTTTCTCATGAATCAGTGCCTCTCCATATCCTTCTTTGACAACGACCTATGACTTCTCTTTGAATTTCCAGGTTTTGGCGATATTTCAAGAAGTTGGTGTAAACAAGATGCTATATTTTATGGTCTTTGGTGAATCTTTACTAAATGATGCTGTGACTGTGGTCTGCTACAATCTAGTAATCGAATTCAAGGAGCTTGACTCGATTGGTTTCATGGATGTAGGTTGTTTCAAATATTTTCTCATAAAAAGCCTACAAGCTTATAGGACTCTTTCTATTGTAGATTTTAGTTCTTTTCTACTTGAATTAAGTATATTTCAGTGCTTTATGGGATTTCTAGCATTTTTGTGTGTTTCATTAGGTGGCTTAGCTATTGGACTCCTTTGTGGATTTTTATCAGCTCTTGTCACGAAATTTACGAAACATGTTCGAGGTGAGCAACTTGTTTTGAAGACGGAGCTTTGTCGAAGCTTTATTGTGTCGATGCTGACATACAGATGGGGAGAACACCACCCTGTTCTTGTACGGT